GGAGGAGAGATGAGGACGATAGGCTTTTGATAGGAATTTTTTAGGCAAAAGCAGAAGCAAACCACACCAGAGCACCCGCCGACCACCCACTTACATTTGTTCGACAGGTGGTTTATCATTAAGTGTTGTTGAATAGGAAATCTAAGAACAATAGACAACCAACAGTGGAACAGAAATACAGTGAAGTCAACAAGCGTTCAAAATTGCTACCCTAACGATTTTCAGTTCGTGACTACTGTCGTTTTTCCCCTCCAGTTATTTTCATTTGTTTTCCGCCAGCATAGACCGCGTCGCTTACCATCATCCATCAAAATTCTTCCATCTCAACCATCTTGTATAAGTATAGAGCATGCATCAGAATAACATTGAGTACGTATCTAGCTTCAGATTATTATTGTCTATATTGCTGCTCATTTATAATAGTATGCATGTGATTGTAAGACTGCGTGTGTGTGTGCATACGTATGTGTGTGTGTGTGTGTAAGTGTGTGTGTGTGTGTGTAAGTGTGTGTGTGTGTGTGTGTAAGTGTGTGTGTGTGTGTGTGTGTGTGTGTGTGTGTGTGTGTGTGTGTGTGTGCATGTGGTGAAACACCAAACCAATGTGCCAGGATCTTGACAATAAAGATGTACCTTCTCTTATCTTATCGTATCTTATCTTATCTTACCAAAAAGGCGTTGCCGGTACAACATCCAAGAGCTAGCCATGACAGCAACCAGATCGCAGTTACTCAGACTGTCTGTCTTTACACACCCTGATCGCGGTCACTGTACAGTCTATCTTTGTACAACCTGATCCTGGTTACTGTTCAGTCTGTCTTTGCACAACCTGGTGGCGGTCACTGTACAGTCTGTCTTTGCACAACCTCATCGCGGTTACTCAGACGGTCTGCCTTTGCACAATGACAGAAGACGCGTCCCAGCTATCCAAAAGAAGTAGATTAGAAGCCTCAGTTCGCCACGCATCAACACTCAAGTCCAACACGGCACCACAGTCCATGGCACAATAGGCTTGGTTCACACAAAGTTCCCCATTCTGTAACTAGTGTCAAAGATCGTGTATAACAAGATAGTTCACTCCTCTCTTTGAGCCAATTTAAAAAGTGTCCTCAAAATCCGGTGGCGCCCCTCTCAGAAAAAGCGCGGACTCTGCAAACAGAGTTACCCTACTTGTATGAGAAAACAATGAAAATAAAACTAACACACTGTGCTATTCCTATACTTCTTCTGGGAAAACGAAAAAAAAAAACCCACTGAGGGCCATCTGAAGCAATGCGAGGACTTCCGCGGACACGTTTTTGGCCGAGTGAACTATCTTGTTATGTACGATCTTTGCTACTGTCTCGTATAGAAAAAAAGAATATCTCCTCGGAGCATTAACTACGTATGTGAGGCCGGTCGGCGTTGTGTCCTGATTTCTAAAGCCTCTCTTCGATTTCTTTGAATTCCCTTTTTGTACTACTGAATAGGCGACATGCCGAGAGTATCCGTGTGTGTCTATGGGTGAATAGAGCTATTCTCGGTGGCAATCTACGCTGGGAAAGTTAAAGGTTGGACACCACAGACAAATCGTATGTTTACTCAAGAAAGGTGTCAGTGGCATATCACTTCTTGAACGAATGAAAACCAGTCCAGAAAGTATGAGGCACAAGAGAGTGTGCCATGTCAACCAAACGATAGTTGTAATTATGAAAGAACTAAGGGGGGATGGGGCTTGCCCAAAAATCGATCTAGATCTAGATGTACACTTACGGCACACAATCAAATTGGTGCTCAACTTTTGAGACAAATTCGATAAAATGGGATCCTCAATTATATTAGGTTACTATGTCCAGTGTTAATGGTTCAACAGTATCAATGAAAACATGCTCAGGAACAGAAGTGACAGTACCACAGGACGTTTGGGAGAAAATAGATGGCAAACTGGAAAAGCTAAACGGATGTGGCAATGGCGATATTAGCATTGAAGACAAAGCTGTAAGAACCCATTACAGTTCGAGCAAGTCAGCCTTACCTTACTCCCATTGAAACAGAGAATGAAGAGAAGCATGAAAGAATCATCGAGAATTTTAGTAGTGTGAAGGGTTTCACGGCGCTCGAATCATCGAGTAAGGGATGCAGACAGCAAAAGAACGTGAAGGGAAATCCAACCCCAAGAAAAGTCAGACTTACACAGCTGATGGAAACAACCTGGGCATGATTATCTCAAAGGCTGGAATCAAACCTGAACCAACAAAGACTGAAGCAACTCGAGACCATCCACAGAAACCAGGACAGGATGCAAACCCATTACAACGAACAAATACTGCGCGTTTTAGACAAAAGTTCCTTCTAGGCAAGCCAATCCATGGTGTCCATGGTGATTACCAGGGGGGCTGCCCAGTTTGTCACAGGCCCAGTTTGTCACAGGCCCAGTTTGTCACAGGCCCGGTTTGTCACAGGTCCATTTTGTCACAGGTCCAGTTTGTCACAGGCCCAGTTTGTCACAGGCCCAGTTTGTCACAGGTCCAGTTTGTCACAGGCCCAGTTAGTCAATTTTACTTAAGCATTTGAATATTGATGAGTCATAATTACAGCACTTTGACACTGTAGTTGTCACTTTTTTTTATTCTCCACCTTCATATTGGTGGGGTTGAGATAGTCCCTCTCAAACGTCAATTCAGCTAGTGTTGTTCAATATTTTTTTTCCTTTTCGTATGCAAAATCAAAGCAAATTTAAATCACTCTGTAAAATTTCAACAATGAATGTTCTTTCGTTAAAAACAATAGAAAAATAAAATCCAATTCATACAATCAATCAATCATTAATTTACTCTTTTTGAGAGTGTCTAATAACGTCCACCATGCAGGGCACAGTCGAGGCCCGTGTTAAACTGGGCCTATGGCAAACTGGGCAAAAAAATAGTATGATCATTAGCAGGACTTACAGAATACTGGGCCTGTGGCATAACTGGGCCTGTGGCATAACTGGGCCTGTGGCAAACTGGCATGCTTCCATTACCAGCAAAAGGCAGTCTTTTCTAGAAGGAGAAACACTTCTCACTCATAGATCTAATATACACGAAGTCCTGACGAAACATGGCACACATCTGAGGCGAACTTCACGCCTTCTGCACTGAAGTCCGCACACTCAAGCGCACTCACTTATATTATTGCATCGAAGTCAAAATCGACGAACGAATTAAGAACCCCAGTGCGATTTGAAAGCAATGTACAGCACAGCCCTTTTAATTCATGCTTGCTCAACAGTATGAGATCCTACACGATGTCTTACTCCTTTTCACGCATTAAAGATTCTACTAGAGTCTAGATCTAGATCTGTACCAATTTCAGAGGATGCTTGAATTTTCGCGAGTTTTATTCGACTTAAACCCTGCACACACTTGAAAAAATGTCCATTCGTCGCACGGAGGCAAATCTTCCTTTGAAACAGCAGTCTATCCGACCCCCCCCCCCCCCCCAAAAAAAAAAAAAAAAAAAAAAGACAACAGATGTAATAAATATGAAAATCGTGTTCTAGGCTACTTGTTTCACACATTTCTCGTTTCTTCCGTCCATTTTTTCTCAGGTGGTCGCGGTCGTTCACAATAAGAAGGCCCGTGAAAGCAACAAAACCAAAGATATACACATATAAAGGAGACCATAGATGTACACATATAAAGGAGATCACTCTGTGAACAAAACACACAGCGACGGGCGAGCTCGGCTTAACTCAGAACAATGACATGTCAAAAGTGGGCGGTTGGTGGGTGGGTGCTCTGGGTGGTTTCCTCCTTCTTTCCTGTCAAACATACTATATCGTCCGTATCTCTCCATCTCCTTTTTTGCGTTTGTTACTCTTTTTTTACACCTCTAATCATCGGCCCAGGTGGCAGCCGAAGCCTACTCTTATCGATTTCGGACCACCAAGGGATCTTTAACGAGCGCTGCTTGCACACGGGACCTCCGAGAAAGACAGCAGTAAGAAGTAGACAAGGAGTAGCAGGGGAGGGGGCAAAGGAGGTGAGGGAGTGTGGAGGTGTGAGGGGAGAAAGAGAAGACGAAAGCAGATGACAGAACATTGTTAAAGAGCAGGAAAGGATGTGAAAGGAGAAAATTTTAGAAAATTTTAGAGAAGAAAATATTCTCCATCGCTTTCCGGATTCGAACCCAGATCCATTGAATGAGAGGTGAACACTAGATCTATAACTTCTAGACCACGAGAGTCCCCTAATCGAAAGTGATTGCAGACAACAATTCAAACAATCTGTAAAGACCCCCC